TTCTCCCACAGAGCGGCTGGTAGATTCGAACTGCCAACCCTGTGGTTTGCAGCCCAACTCGTAACCCACTACACTACCATGGCTCTTTGTTGCTATGATAAGTGGTCTTAAGTCATTATTTCTACTAGGACTCTTTACATTATTTTAAACTCCAAATGATACAGAAGAAAGTAAACACAACAAAATGACATCATTTGTGTGCTGAGTTGCTGGATTCTGGATTTCTTTTATTTACTTTTTTTTAAGTGTTTTAAATCCTTTTTAAAAGTCTTTGAAGAGGGGCCATCTTTTTTCAAAATAAAAAATAGGATTTTTTTAGGTACCATAGTTTAGATGTTTAGACCATTCTTGAATTAAAGGGTTAGGCCATGTAAGACCAAAGGGAATTTATTTTCTATCTTGTTATGTCTTAACTTAAGATGTTACTTTTCTTCCTCTGACATTTCAGACTCATCCAAATGTGGATAAAAAACTTTTCACTGCAGAATCTTTAATTGGCTTGAAGAATCCTGAGAAGTCATTTCCAGTCAATAGTGATGTAGGGGTGTTAAAATGGAGACTACAAACCACAGAAGAATCTTTTATTCCACTGACAAGTAAGTGTTGGCCAATCCTACTAAGCTGATGTGCATTGAGAACTAGAAGTAACCTCTTAGTCTTCATTGTCACAGCAAAATTCTTTTTTTGACGAACTGACCTTTCAAATGTTACATTTTGGATATTTTAATTATTAGCTTTAATATTTAATGACTTCAATTCTGAAGAAGTTAATTTTAATATAGTTTGTTTACATTAGGATGTTTAAGGCCTGTAGCTGCCATTTAGCTTTGATTTGTCATGTTTACTCTCCTCATTTTTTTAATATGTCTGCTATGCTTATCTCCTCAGTTAATTGCTGGCCTTCGGAGAGTGGAAATGGCTGTGATGTCAACATAGAATATGAACTACAAGAAGATAATTTAGAACTAAATGATGTGGTTATTGCCATCCCACTTCCGTAAGTGGTGTCCCCCACATAATCACTTTCCCTATGTTGGACTTATAGAACTGGTCTTTTGTAATTCATTTTGGAGGCAGCACTTAGCTGGCTATCTGTTCTAAGAAATCTGCTTCAGAAAACCTATTGTGAAAGAAACCAGACACAAAAGGCTACATATTGGAAGATTTTATTTATGAGATTCTGAGAAAGATAAAACTATAGGAATAGAAGCTAACCAGATCACTGGTTTCTAGGAAGTAGAGAGGAAAACACTTGACTGCATTGACAAAGGAAACTTGTTGCAATTACAGAAATGTTCATTTACTTGATTAGGAGGGGGGTGATGACTATACATTTGTCAAAATGCATAGGACTGTACAGTTTAGAAGGAGTGGATTTATAGCAGTTAACACCTATTGACTCAGAACTAAACACTGCTTGGTCCCTCAACATCCTCATCCTCTTAATTGTTGTTATGCTTGCCACTGTGTCAGTCTTTCTCATTGGGAGTCTTCCTCTTTTTCCCTGACCCTCCACTTTACCAAGCATGATGTCTTTCTCCAGGGTCTAGTCCCTCCTGGTAACATGTCTGAAGCATGATAGACAAAGTCTTTCTATCCTGGTTCTAAGAAGGATTTTGGCTGTACTTCTTCCAACACAGGTTTGTCTATTCTTCTGGCAGTCCATGGTGCATTTAATATTTTTCTCCAACACCATAATTCAAATGCATCTATTCTTCTCTGGTTTTGTTCTTTGTCCAACTTTCGCTTGCATATGAAGCAATTAAAAATACCGTGGTTTGGTCAGGCACACTTTAGTCCTCAACACTTTTTTGCCTGATGCAGTATGTTGTTTGATTTCTTGATTGTGACTTCCATTAAGTGTTGTTTGTGCATCTAGTCAAAGTGAAGTCTGGCAACTTCAATCTTTTTTTCCATTTATGATATTCATTAGTACATTTGTGAGAATTTTCCTTTTCTTTACATTGGGGGACAATCCATACTGAAGGAGGTATACTTTGGTCATCAGTAAGTATTTTAAATCCTCTTCCCTTCCAGCAAGCAAGGTTGTATTATTTGCATATTGCAGGTTGTTAATGAGTCTTGCAATCCTGATGTTATGTTCTTTTTATAATCCAGCTTCTTGGATTATATCATCATCATATAGATTGAATAAGTATGATGAAAGAATATAACTCTGGCACACACCTTTTCTGGTTTTAAACCAGTCAGTATCCCTTTGTTCTGTTCAAATGACTGAATCTTGGTCCATGTACAGGTACCTTGTAAGCACAATTAAATGTTCTGGAATACCCATATTTTACAGTGCTATCCATAGCTTGTCAGTCATGATCTACACAGTCGAAAGTTTTTACATAATCAGTAAAGCACAAATAAGCATCTTTTTGGTATTCTCTGCCTTCAGCCAAGATCCATCTGACGTCAGTAACGATATCCCTACTTCCATGTCCTCTTCTGAATTGACTTGAATTTTTTAAAGTTCTATTGCTTTAATGTTGCAACCAATTTTTAATTTTTGCAAAATTTTACTTGCACATGATATTGATATTGTTTGATGACTTCCACATTCCTTTGCATCACCTTTCTTTGGAATGGGTCAAATATATATCTATTCTAAACAGATAGCTATCTTCCACATTTCTTGGCATAATTGGAATGAGTGCCTCTAGTGCTGCATCAGTTTGTTGAAACATTTAAGTTTTTCACCATTGCCTTCAGTGCAGTTTGAACTTCTTTCTTCAGTACCACTGGTTCTTGATCATACATTGCCTATTGAAATGGTTGACCATTGACCATTTATTTTTGGTACAGTGACTACCTTTACATCTTTTGATGATGCTTTCTGCATCATTCAATATTTTGTCCATGGAGTCCTTCAATATTATAAGCTGCTATTTTAACTTTTTTTTTTTTTTGCTGTGCTTTATTGTTTTCATTTGGTCCACGGCTTAGGAGAGAGGGTCTACAGGGTGGCGGCTATATACTGCCTCTATAAGTAGAAGATGAGGTTCAGGTAGAAGATCTGAGGAGGATGGGGAAGGCTAAGAGCCCCTCACAAGTTGCCAGGCTCTGTAGGCTCTTACTCGTGCTTCAGAGTGAACCCGTTGAAGAGACACTTATCCCTGCCTGGAGGATGGCCAGCCTATGGAGGTTAGTCAGATGGTCGCCCATCTTCTTGATAATTTTCACTTCCTCATGGAGCAAATGGTTCTCCAGAAAGTCACAGAGGTGGGTGTCTGTGCCATTTGAAATTTTCTGTTCAGCTCTCTTACTTCTTCATTTCTTCCATTCACTTTAGCATTCCTACACTTCACATTCTGCAAGCCTGCCTCTTGGCCACCAGCACAAAGCCTTTCTTTTTCCATGAGTCTAGAGGCCTCAGCTGCTCTCTCTCTCCCTTTCTCTCCCTGTCTCCCCCCTCTCCACCTCTTTCCCCCTCTCTCCTCTCTCTCCCCTTCTCTCCCTCCTCCTCCCTCTCTCCCTCGTCCTCATCTCTTCCTCCATCTCTCGTATCACTGCTTCTCTGGATAGGGTTCCACATTCTGCTCATGCTTTTCTCCCTTAATGGTCCTAGGATGCTCTGTTTCTGGACTGTAAGATTAACTACTCCCCCATTTTGTTACAAAATTTCTACCTTTACATTTGTGATAGTCGCCATTATTATTCACTATTGAATCATAAGAATCTTATCCCCATCTCCTTTTCCCAGATCCATCTAGACAACATGAAAACTATGCAGTGGGATATAGTGGCCTTTTCTGTTGTTTTAAAAAGATATTTGCAATGAATCACTCATTGGTCTTAAAAAATTCTGTCTTACGATTTCCATCATTTCTGTCACCACAACCAGATTTTTCAATTACTGATCTTTCCTCTTTTGTTTCCAACCTTCACATTCCATTCATCAGTAATTATCAGTGCATGTTGATTACAAGTTTGATCAGTTTCAGAGTAAAGAAGTTGATAGAATTCTTCAAATACATCATCACTGTATTTAGTGGTTGGAGCATAAATTTGAACAATAGTGGTATTAACTGGTCTTCTTATCTGACCCAAGCCATGGTATTTTCTGTAGCTTCATATGCATGTGAAAATTGGACAATGAATAAGGAAGACCTTACTGATATCGATGCATTTCAGTTAATGGTGTTGGAGGAGAATATTGATAGTACCATAGACTTCCAGAAGAACAAACAAATCCATTAGAAGAAGCAGAGCCAGATGCTCCTTAGAATCCAGGATGGCGAGACTTGGTTTCTCAACTTTGGACTTATTGGCAGGTGGGACCAGTAAAGTGAAGGGTCAGTGAAAAAGCAGAAGACCACCCCAAGTAGATGGATTAACGTAGTGGCCTCAAGTGTAACAAAGATTGTGAGAATGATGCAGAACTATGCAGTGTTGCATTTTGTTGTGCCTAGGATCACTATGAGTTGGAATAGACTGGATGACACCTAACAGCAACCAGAAGTTCATTTTAACTCACCAGTGCTTAGGATATCCATATTTATATGTTCCATTTCATTTTTGACAACTTCCAATTTTCCAAGATTCATCCTTCATACATTTCATGTTCTGATCATTTATGGATGTTTGCAAATGTTTGCTCCTCATTTTAAGTTGTGCCCCATCAGCAAATGAATGTCCTGAAGGTTTTTTCCATTCATGTCATAATGGTCGACTCTAGTTTGAGGAGGCAGCTCTTCCCCATTTGTATTTTGAATGCCTTCCAACCTGAGGGACTCATCTGCCTACAGTATATCTGACAGTGTTCCTCTGCTATTCATAAGGATTTCAGCAGCGGATTGTTCAGAATTAGTCTGCCTCTCCTTTCTAGTCTTAGCCTAGAAGTTCAACTAAAACTTGTGTACCAGGGGTGACCCTGCTTATAATTAAAATGCCAGTGTCACCCAAAAGATGAAATTCTTAGAAATAAATCTAACCAGAGAAGTAAAAGACCAATGCAAAGAAAACTACAAAACACTATTACAAGAAACCAAAAGAGATTTACAAAAATGGAAGAATATGCCATGCTCATAGGTAGGAAGACTAAACACTGTGAAAATGTCAATACTAACCACAGTGGTCAGAACAGCATGATACTGGTACACCAAAAGATACATAGATCAGTGGAACAGAATTGAGAACCCAGAAGTAAATCCATCCACATACAGTCAACTGATTTTTGACAAAGAACCAAAACTCTTTAAATGGGTAAGAGATAGTCTCTTCAACATTTGTTTTTGTATATAAAATGGTGTGAGGTATGGGTCTCATGAGGTATGGGTCTCGTTTTATTCTTCTGCAATCGATTTCCAGTTTTGCCAGCACTGTGGCTGTGTAGTCAATTATGAGTTCAGGGCGTAAGAAGCCTCCAATTCTGTTATTCTTCTTAAGCACTGCTTGCTTATCTGAGGTCTCTTTCCTTTCCACATAAAGTTTTGATCAGTTTTTCTGTCTCTTTTAAGATTGACATTGGAATCTAGATTGGGATTGCATTATATCTATAGATTTGCTTTGGGTAGTATTGAAATCCTAAACAATTACCTGATGTATATGTATACATAAAAAAATCAGATCTAGCACTATAGCTGGGAAGAACACACTCCATTGTTCGTCATATGTCACTCCATATGAAGATTACCAAGGAAGGATAAGCAGTGGACTGCAAGGTTCATTTGAATCAAAAGGTCAGTGGTTTAAAGTCCCCAGCAGCTCTTCAGAAACTCTATACAGGGTAGCTATGAGTCAGAAATGACTCAATTGTACTTAACAACAAGGAACAGAAACTGACCAGAGACAAAGATCTTCTCCTAGTGTCAACAGAGAATTAAAGCCTTTCCCTAGAGCTGGTGCCCTCAATTCGGACTTTTAGACTCTTAAACCATGGTAGTTCTGTTTAACTTCCAGAGGAACCACCACTGACATACTGACAGATAGATTGCTCATCACTCCCACTAGGATGGCTTTTGTCAGAGAAAAGAAAAGTAACAAGTGAGG